GGCCACATGGAAAAGAAAAACACAACTATCCTTCAATACCTTCTGAAAGATTTACACGCTGTTGTGGCTACTTGTTAGACTGGCTCACAGGTCCTCCCTAGCTTAAGAAGTGATCCAAGATACAACTAAACTCCCCACTTTGTGACCATCAAAAGTCCTGATAGGCTGGGCACCCGTGGCTCAAGCCTGTAATCCTAGCTACTCCAGAGGCTGAGATATGAGGATCGCGGTTCAAAGCTAGCCCGGGCAGGAAAAGTCTGTGAGACTCTTCTCTACAATAAACCACTCAGAATACTGGAAGTGGTGCTGTGACTCAAGTGGTAAGAGTGCTAGCCTTAAGCTAAAGAGCTGATGGACAGTGCCCAGGCCCAGAGTTTAAGCCCCATGACCGACGGGGGGGGGGGGAAAGTACTGATAGGCCAAACAGAGTGTTGATCCCTGATTAACAAGAATACTCAGTGAAATAAAATTCCCTTTTATGAGAACTCTTCAATGAAGACCTCATGTTTATATACTTCATATCATTAATATTATTGTAACAAAATGCACTGGGTAAATGGGCATGCACAGCTAAATAACACGATCACTATCTGCCACACAAAACTGTCTATCATGAAGTACCTCTGTTCTAGGAGGATTCATCCAAGCATCTCCTCAGCCCAAATTAATTGTCCCAGATACCAATCCCCAGGGGCTTGGAGCTATCCTGCTCAGGCCTACAACCATACTAGGAGCATATTCTCATATTACACGCTTTACTTTTGCTCCAACAGACCAGTGCTTCTCTCATGAATTGTGTATGTTTCACTCAATTCTTTGTTCAAGGTGCCAAGACCCTGAGATGACTGTTCTCTGGTAAACTAGAATCTTATATATAAACTTATCAAAATTAGGATTTAAAATTATATATGGCTGGGAAATATTTACAGTAAAATATTGGAAAAAAAAGTCTCCTAAGGGGATAGTCTAACACTATGCATTAAGGGAGTGAATTCTGGTGCAGGAAAGCCTGACTTTGTCCTCACCTGTGTGAATGTTTCCTTGGCAACCCTGGACAAGTTACACAATCTTTCTAGGCATCGGTCTCCTCCTTGGGATAAAGGGAATTGCAGCAGTAATGCCCATGGCGAGGAGTTTTTTTTTTAATACAATTAGGGGAACACATATAGATAACAGCTGAGTGCCTGATGCATACTTAAAGTATGAGAGTATTGGTGATTTCTTTTTAATTACCTGCATCTTCTAGATTCCTTTAACAAGCATTAGTTTATAGTGGGCATGACTACAGTAACAACGAAGTTGGTTGTTAACACACTATTCTTAAAATATTAAGGAAGAATCTAATAGATTCTTCCTTAAAAACAGAAGTATTTGAAAAATTTAATCCATGAATCTTAGCTACTGTCAAATGCCTGTATTGGGCATGAAGCTCAATGAAGATGAATATATTTTTCTTATTGATTTCTCTTCAAAATTTACTGAAATTGTTTGAGTTAATAGTCTATTCAAAGGCCATTAAAAAAGGATGACTGATGAAAAATAGCAAAATGTGTTGATTAAAATATCAAATTTCTTTTTTAGAGTAATGCCATATATGTGTGTGTGTGTATATATATATATATATATATATATATATATATATATATAAAACAAAAGAATAAGACCTGTGTTGTAAATGATTCAGGAAAATGGATACAGCCATAGACAGCTAGTATAAGGACAAATACACAAGATTTTCCTGTGTTAACAGAAACTTCAAAATATGAACACATCTAAACTCAGAAACATCCTTCAAAACCTATTCACTAAAGTAATAGCTGATAACTTTTTTTAAATTGAAAAATATGACATTCTGGTTTCAGATTCTTTGTTTTCCCTTTGGGGCAAATAATTTTCCTTCTGCAAATTTCAGCTTCAGGGTTGCTCTGTGTGGCTGCGTGTGTGGGTGTCTGTAGGCCAAGGAGCTGGTGTGTGCAGGGGCATCAAGACCCAGGGTGCAGCTTACACTGTACAGGGTGCCATGAGGAAGACTCCCCCTAAGTTAATCAGGGAGGCTCTCTCATTCCATAGTTATAAAGCAAAGTAGGAAGCAAGGGCAGTCCTCATTAGCCTCGGGCTCTTCCTCATCTCTCTTCTTTATCCCTTAAAGAAATGAGATGCCAACGTGGCTATGATGACTGCTGCAGATCCCTTTTGAGCATGTTTCACCTGCTACTTTGAAAAAAGTTGAGTTCTGAACCTCCCTGAGACTGCTACAGTCAATTAAGACACAATTGCTCCCTCACTGTTAGCTAATCGGGGTCACCTCTATAACTGATTCAAGTCAGAGAGCAATTAATATCCATTTGCACAGGAATAGAATTGCAAGTCTCTTCCAATGCTATTCAGCTTCCTCTTCTAAGGCTGAGTAAAAATCCATTAGCCTGGCACCTGGAAAGGTGGGGTGTAGGAAAATAATTTTATAGTTAATGGGAAGTCCCCATGTCCAGTCCACTTGTGTGAATAAATATATTTTAAGTTAGGCACATTATGGTGGGTGAAATATAAGCATTTGGTTCTAGTCAGAAATGCTAATCATCAGCACTGGATTAAAAATCTTGGAGCACACATGTTTAACAAGGCATAATATAATAGTGTTGTGACATAATACATACAGTGTATGAGGAAATAAACAGGGATTCCTTTTATCATACAGGTAAAATGACTGCCTCTTTCATAATTAGGTATCACATGCACATAAAACACATTGTTGAGTTGTCTTGAGCTGTTCATTTCACTTGTGCAGATCAGCTGTGTGGGCAGCGTCACAATTCCTCTCTGGAAGGCAACATTCCTCCTCTACTGCAGCATGCTAGTTTATGGACCAGGGAGTGAGATAAATGGATAAAGAGGATTCTGGGGATCTTTCCAGACTTAGTTTTCTACACTGAGGTAGGTGTTGTCTTGGGCCTCAACCTTGAGCTGTCTCTGAGGACCTGGAACATGTCTTAACTCCTCTTCCACTGCTAACAGTTAAGATAACAAGACTTTTGGATGAGAGTTGCATTTTCTTTTTCAGCTTGAACTCTGGGCCTGGGCACTGTCCCTCAGCTCTTCAGCTCAAGGTGAGTGCTATACTACTTGAGCCACAGCACCACTTCTGGTTTTCTGATAGTTTCTTGGAGATAAGAGTCTCACGGCTTTTCCTGCTCGGGCTGGCTTTGGATTAAAATAACTGTTTTTGGATGTTCATCTTTCAAAATTCATAACCCAAGTATATCTTTCTTTTTGTATATACATATTTCTTAAAGTTATCTTTAAGTAGTTGTACCAAGAAGTTGCCATCTAATAAAGCAGCTTATGAGTACAATATACCTATGCTGTTGGGAAGCTCTCTTAAAGGCCTACCTGCTCTGACCCATCCTCTCTACTCTTCAGTGAATCTATGAGGTCACTACAAGCTGCTTCTTAGCCTTCTGCTTCAATATTCGGCTTCATTTCTAGAACTTCCCTTGTCACTAAGAGTAAGAATACAATCTTCAGTCACCTTTAGGACTACTGAATTACCTCAATGAGTTTTTCTTTCCAAAACAAATGGTTCCCAGTTGTACTGGAGCATAGCCATGAAGAATTCTCATAAACTTCTCTTACTCCCACGGTCCCTGCTTCATTCATACTGCTCCTTCTGCCTATGGTGGCCTGTTTGTTCTCTGATCAGCCAAGCATTTGCCCAATCCCTCTCCTTGGAAAGCTCTGGCCTGGAATGCTTATCTGGATCTTTCCACCAGTCTTCTCATCTCCCCTTCAGTTATCTAATACCCCAGTTACTCAACTGAAAACAGCAATTCTCTCTCCTCTCTGGTATTCTCTCTCTTCTTTCCTTCCTGTGTTTTCCCTCTCATTGTTCTACTTACCACCACCTGACACTATTTTGTTTCTTTGTTTGTGCTTGCCCTCTCAGCCCTTTCAACCCATAGAAGAATGCAAGCTTTCTGAAGGTAGGATCATACATGTCAGGGTCTCCCCAAATGACAATGTTATAGAGGTCATCTACCATACCTCGAGTACTAAGAGTGGCTACTTTGCATTTACAGAGGCATGATGTACTTTAATGGGCTTGCTATCCTTGCTAAGAACTTTACCATCAGGTGATCAGAGTTCTGAAATTGTCCCTGTAGGACTTTTTATCCTCTGGAGGCTGAGTATAAATATATATGCAAGGAATTGTCAAAAATGTTTTTGTTGATACACCGTACCTAGCGATTAGAGGTGTGATATGATAGTTCCATTCTAGTATTGACTAATCAGTTTCACAGCATCCTCTGTTATTAGAAAACTTTCCAATGCATTAGGAGGTTCTGTTTGGATTCAAGACAGGAAATTAAGGCAGAGATTTCACACAGTGCCTGCCACGGAATGACCCCCTTCCTTCCTATCACGGTGCTTATACAGAGGAGTGAGCATTCTTTAGAAAATAATACAAAACCAGCAACAATGTTTCACTTAAAAAAAGACTTATAGTCTACAAGGAGCCTCTAGCTGAAAATCACTGCCGAAACCAAAATCTTTCACAGAGCACCTTTTGCTACCAGTAGATTTGCTATAGTATACTTGGTTTATTTTAATAATGTTTCAGCTACTGTGTTTAAAAAATGCCAGAAGTTCTAATGCTGAGAAATACCATGATTGGAGAAACTGTACAATGGAGTGAGAAAATCTAGGCTAATTATTATAGGACTGAAAGAATAATCACAAGGTCTATAAATTGTTGTCAACTCAAGTCATTCCTTCGATTAGCATTTCAAATTATTCATTGCTAATTTGCAGCACTTCGGATGACAAGCTGAAGAAGGTTTGTTTTCACACACTCAGGGCGGGAGACAGACAGTCTACATTTTTACAATGGATATTACAAAATGTCTGCTCCTGACTCTTTTCAAAGCTTTTTAAGAATCACAAATCAGCAAGCATTCTCACATTCATTTATGCTTAATATAAGACATTAGTTTTTTTATACCCACAACAAAACATGGACCTGCAGAAGTCTTCAAGCAATCTTCCAGAAGCCTCATGCGCATCTTCTGTAGCTCAGGATTGTCCCATTCATCTTCTTCCACGCCCCAATATAGGTCTATGACCTGGGAACAAATGGAGGAGGAGACTTTAGATTCTTCTGCGGAAAAATTACATTTACTTGTGGGCTTTGTTCCTATGTACAAGGTCAAGCTAAGGTGACTTTTAATTTTTCTTTAGTGAAGGCAAATAGTGTGTGTGTGTGTGTTTGCGTGTGCACACGTTAGTACTGGGGATTGAATTTAGGCCCTGGGTCCTGTCCCTTTATGTTTCTGATCAAGGCTGGATCTCTACCACTTGAGCCACAGTTTCACTTCTGGCTTTGTGGTGTTTAAGTGGAGATAAGAGTCGCACAGACTTCTCTGCCCAGGTTAGCTTTGAACCAACCTCAGCCTCCTAAGTAGCTAAGATTATAGGAGTGAACCACTGGTGCCTGGCAGCAAATGACTTTTGAGATCCATCTAGAGAGCTATTTTCATACATGATGGGTTGGGAAATGAGTATTACAACTTATTTTGTGTTTGATTTTACTCTTCACAGGAATGAGGAGACAAGGAAATCCCAAATAGCAGAGGATTTGGAGTCCACAATTTAATTACATTGAAAGAGTAACAGGATTTTAAAAAAAGACACGAATGTGTCAGGGACATGGTTCCCATCTTATTTGTGACAATTAAATCATAACAAAAAACATTACCACATGCCCTATTATGTGAAGGAAATAAATCACAATGGGCGTTAACATATACTGATCTGAAGGCACACATCTGCATTTCTTTAAAAAAAATCAAAGGCAAAGAAACCAGGAAACTCCCATTAAATAGTAGGCTCATCCCAGAGAACAGGTATTTGCTTATATCTGTTTTATCTGCAAGCACTTCAGCTTTCATCCATGTATATCTGAAGGACATGCCTTGGAGAATGGTGCAGGGTGCGCGTTACTGAGAACTGAGGATAATAGGACCTTCCATCTCCCGACTTCAAAGACTCCTGGGGTGGATCTTGCCAGTCTGTAAAAACTTTCACAAGCAGGCTCTTTGAAACTTGTAAGGAAGATCAGTAGGGGATCATTTCTTTGACTGCTATCTGCATAAAGTGAATGTTTCCAATTGCAGCTTTGAAGATTCTGCTCCCTCCACCTCCATTTCCTTCTCTGGGTTCCACAAGCAAGAACAAGACACTCCCAGCCCTCTCTGATAGTCCTGAGGCCAGTCAGTGACACAGAAGTGAAGCCCTTGGTTGGGCCTCCTCCACTGCCCAGGCAGATCCCAAGCACTGCGTGTGCTTCTTGTTTCCTGGCTGTCACCATCACACAGGGGCGTGTGCATCAGATAGCTGACCATTTGAACTTGAGTTTTCTCAAGGACGATTCACCTATGATAGTTTCTTTAAAAAAACAGTTCCTTGGGCCACTCCATGGGTGTTTACTACATAGGAGACTGACATCACTGATCTGGGGCTCTCCCCCTTTAATCTACTACAAGGTTTAGTATTACAATCGTAAGAAAAGGGATATCTGAGATGGAGATGATAACTTCACTGATGGATCTGAGAACCTCTCGATGGGGCTACCTGAAATCGGATATAAATAATGCAGTTTAACAATTCAGTTCTTAAAGGCTATGTGGCTACATACGACTGTTGACTGTCATATTGGACAGCAGTCATACAGAACATTTCACTATTCCAGTGAGTTCCACTGAACAGAGCTGAACATTGTAAACTCAAGAGAATACGAGGATCACCTTGCTCTGGGAATCACCTTGCTAGAAGGGAATAAAAGAAGGATGAGGTGGAGAGTGAGAGGACTGTGGTTTCAGGGCAAGGCAGACAAAAAGTTAATGAGATTACCATCTCAACTAATAGTCTGGATGTGGAGGTGTGTACCTGTGACGCAAGTTATATGGGAGACATGGGTAGAATCACAGTCAAAGGCCAGTCCCAGGCAAAAGTGTCACACTGTATCTGAAAAGTAACCACAGCATTTGTTGTCTTTTAACTGGGTAAGAGGCTGAGGAATACAAATCTTCTCAGGCTGCTGCTAAGGATGTATTCCTGCTCAACTGCATGACTTCAAGATATTTTATGTCCAGCCCACAGTAAATACATTTAGTGTACCGAAACAGTTAAAAGTCCACTAGAATTCATTGTTTTTGCCATGAACAGTTTCAAAACCAGACACAGAACCTGCTGTCTCTATTTTGGGGTTTACACTGTTTGAATACAAAATCAGGTCCTGCATAATGACATTTGTCAATGATAGAACACAGATATGACGGTCACACCAGATGAGATCACACAGTGATGTCATAGTCATTTGAGTAAGAATACTCTGTGATATTCAAACAATAATGAAATCACCTAACAACATACTTCTCTGAACACACTCTATTGTTATACATTACAAGATGGTTGAGGAAGGTCTTACTTGAAAGAAAAGAAAGGGCAAATATAAAGATTAATATCCCAAAATTATAAGTAGGCACCTGTTCCTTTCAACTCCACCAAAATGTAAAATTATATAATTACTAATTATAACAATGTGCCAGGGATTTGTAACATCTAATCATAACATGTGGAACACTAACAACACAAAGAAAGGGGCAAATAGAAAAAAGGTATATAGAATGATCTTGGTATTACTTATCCAAATTAAGATAGTGTAATCATGTCAATTCAGATAAATCAAGATAGAAATTTCCTCAAATAACTGCCCAGAAAAAAAAATCTCAAAAATATCATGAGAAAAATCATTGAAGAATTAAAATGCAACCCTGGAAAATACTGACTTAATGTTAAAAATAAAAGCCCAACCAAAGAGTAGCAGAGCAAAAGAGGAACACAAAAGACATGTAAATAAGAAAATTAAATGGCAGATGTAAATCCAACTAAACAGTAGTGCCATTAACTGTGAATAGTATAAACCATAAATATGGATAAAAACAACATTCAACTTAATAATGTCTCAAAATAGAGCAGTGGCATGGATTTAAGATTTAAATTGGTAAAACTCTTAGAAGAAAATAAAACTGAACTTTACCATGGTTTCTCATATATAACACAAAAATATAGGTATCTAAAGAAAAAGCATATATTGGACATTCTTAAGGTTAAAAAAATTTAAAGATATGATAAAAAGTGTAGTAAACCTAGAATGGAAATTATTTGCAAATATAGACTTGCATAGGTTTTTGTCTAGAATACTTGAAAAATATTGACAGATCAATAATGAAAGGGAGAACAAACAATCAAAACAGGCAAACTCTCTGAGTAGATCTTTCTCCACAGACTATATACACATTTCTGACAAACATATGAAAAGATGCTCAATATTATTCAGTGTTAAGGAAATGAAAATTAAGACCACAGTGAGATAATTTACAAGCCGTTAACTGTGGTTATGAACAAAGGGACTGACTGATTATTGTAAGTGATGGCGAAAGATGTGGAGAAATTGGAACTCATATACATTACTGATGGAAATACAAAATGGTCCAGCCCATTTGAAAAGTCTGGCAGTTTCTCAAAGGGTTAAACACAGTTACTGCCTGGTTCAAAAATTGTCTTCTGCCGGGCGCCCATGGATCACACCTGTAATCCCAATTACTCAGGAGGCTGAGATCTGAGAATTGCAGTTTAAAACCAGCCCCGGCAAGAAAGGCCGTGAAACTCTAATCTCCAATAAACCACCAGAAAACTGTAAGTGGCTCTGTAGCTCAAGTGGTAAAGTGCTAGCCTTGAGTTGAAGAGCTGAGGGACAGCACTCAGGCCCAGTGTTCAAGCCCCATGACTGACCAAAGAAAATTCTCTTTTGCTGTACATACCCAAGAAAAAGGAACATATATGTCTGCTAATAATAACTACATAATAATAATAACTAAAAGTGGGAATATCTCAAATGTGTGCAAAGTGACTGATGGAAAAAAAATACGGTGCAACTATCCAATAGAATTGTTACTCAGCAATAGCATGTGAGGTAATGAACACTCAAACATGTGACAAAAAAGGATAAGCGCTGAAAACATCACGTGAAAGAATGCACCCACAAAGGAGAGCAAGCTGCATGGTTCTATTTATTTGATACGAACAGAAATGGCAGAGAGTGTGGTGGCATAAAGCAAAACAGTAGCTGCTTGGGGTAAGTGGAGAGAGCAAGTAGGGCTTCTTTATGTAGTGAAAATGATGTTATAAAATTGACATTCCTAACTGCTACGTAGCTATAAACACACTAACGCCCACTAAGACCTATACTTCAAGTTGGTAGATTTAAGCTATATGAACGAGGTTATATTTTCATGAAGGTGTTTAAAAGGATAAATCGACTTGCCTTGTAATTTTCTATGGGCCTTACATCTCATTCTCAGAGTGTAGTTGAATGTGTAAACAGTGTATGTTTAAATCAAGTACCTAGTATGATATGAGCTTAACTAACTAGATGCAGCACAATGACCAAGAGTAAAAGTGTCAAACAAGGCTTTTATTTTCCTTAATCTACATATTTCTGAAGCCAAAGTATTGGCATAATTTATTTGCCACCTATAAATCTGTTGTAAGTTTTTGTACCTTCTATTTCTTAGAGGTTGGTCCCCACTACTGTCTTTAGGGCTTGCTAATCTAAATGCCCTTGGACCTTAGTAGCTTTGTTTCAATATTCTTCAGCTTCCAGAGCTTCTCCATCAGACTGCTCTTTCCCATATATCTTTAGAAGCAGAAAAATATAGGAAAGGATGAAATCAAGCAACTGTGAAGACAGGAAAGAAAGGAATAAAACACCCAACTTGTGTAACACTAAGTGCCATTTTGGGTGCATGTAAGTGCCATGTGTCCACATGATTGATAACTGGCAAAACGTTTGGAGTTTAAAGTGCTCAAGAAGACAGCATTTATTATATACTTAAAAAATTAAGTTTAGCTTTTAGCCTAATGTCTGGGCACTGCAGACACTGGAATCTAATTTGCTATTTATTGGAATACTAACTTGTTGACAGCACATTTAATGTGCTTTTACTAATTTTATCATTTAAACTTTAAAGCTGAGGAAAGTAATTTGGTTTTATCTTTTTTT